GACTGTGAGGGAATGACCTCCAGGCCAATTGGCTGTGGTGATCAGCTGTGTCTACACTGGAAGATCTGTTGTGCAGGAGATACCCTTATGGGGCAGGACTTGCTTCAGTAGGGCTTTGATGCTCACTGAGTCTGCCCTTGAGTGTGTCTCTATGGATGTAAAGAGTTGTAATCCGTTATCATCTCCAAGGAGGTGCAAAGTCAGCCACTGTCTGGGGCTGCCCAGCAGGAGCTACAGAGACATCTGCTGATTCCTCCTCTTTGTATGGGTGTGGAAGTGCCCAGATGAGGCCCAGCTGTGAAGCTAGGCTGCTGCTGATGCCAGGTAGTGGGCCTTCTTTTGGAATCTCTGGGGCTCTCTGACCCAGCTGCAGTTTGTTTTAGGCAACAGGACAGGCCATTCATATGCAAAAGCCAATGCCCACAGCTTGGGTGGAGTTTTAAATTGGGAGGGGCGGGGTCTCTGAGAATCACCAGGGCGGAGCAAACAGCAGTGGTTTCTGAGAAGTCCTTGGTTCTCCGTGTCCCGCATGCCGTGCAGGAACAATGATTGCTGTGAGTACCTCTAAGAGTAAGCCGCTCTCACGTTCCTGTCCTAATGCCAGACAGTCCTGTTTCTCCCCGTATGTGTCTGGGTCCCCCAGAGTCTCACCTGTAACTGGAATTCTGAGCAAGCGGGAGCTTGTATCTCCCTCTGGGTTTAAGGAGCAGCCCATCCAGGTGCTAGCACTTTCTGAGCCTCCGCACCTCTTACCGGTCTCAATGCGCTTTCTTCACCTCTCTGGTTGTAGAATTTCCACTCAGCCAACTTTCCCGCGGTTCTGAGTGGTAGTTGTTCGGCCGTTTAGTTGTAATTTTGATGTGGTTGTGAGAGGCAGCAAGTATAGGTGATTACCTATGCCACCATCTTGGTTTCTCCTTTGGGGGATTTTCTTATCGATTTTTAAGACTACTTTGTATATTTTAGATAACAAAGATTTTATCAGATGTTTCTTTTACAAATATTTTCTTTTAATCTGCGACTTGTCTTCTAATTCTCTTGACATTATCTTTCACAGAGTAGGAGATTTAAATTTTAATAAAGTTTGGCTTATCAATAACCTCTTTCAGGGATTGTGCCTTTGATGTGTCTAAAAAGGCATACATACCCAAGGTCATTAGGTTTTCTCCTATCTTCTAGGAGTTTTATAGTTTTGTGTTTTATATCTAGGTCTATGATCCATTTTGAGTTAATTTTTGTGAAGACTCTAAGACCTGTGTATAGATTCATATTTTGACATGTGGATGTTCAGTTGTCCCAGCAGCATTTTTTTAAATGTAAATTCTTTATTATTTAAAGTATTACATGAGTCTCCTTTCCCCCTTCCCCCCCCATTGACCTCCAACAGCATTTATTGAAGAGACTGTCTTCGCTTCTTTGTTCTGCCTTTGGTCCTTTGTCAAAGATCAGGTGACCATATCTTTGGGGGTCTATTTCTGGGCTTTCTGTTCTGTTTCATAGATCTATTCATCTATTCTTTTATTCATACAACCCTGTATTAATTACTGTAGCTTTATAGGTCAAGCATCAGTCCTCCAACTTTGTTCTTCCCTTTCAGCATCGTAGGCTATTCTGGGTTGTTTGCCTCTCCACATAAACTTTAAATCAGTTTGTTGATACCCATAAAATAATTGCTGGGATTTTGATTGGGACAGCATTGGTTCTATAGATTGAGTTTGGAAGAACAAACATCTTGATAATATTAAGTATTTCTATCTATGAACATGGAATACCTCTCCATTTATTCAGGATGTTTGAAAAGGAGTGATGACAGGGGACACTTCTGTTTTGTACCTGATCTTAGTGGGAAAGCCTTGAGTTTCTCACTATTAAGTATAATATAAGCGGTACGATTTTTGTAGATAGTCTTTAGCAAGTTGAAAAAGTTCCCAACTGTCCCCAGTTTACTGAAGTTTTTATTTTGAATGGGTGTTGGATTTTGCCAAATTCGTTTTTTGCATCTATTGATATGATCATGTGATTTTTCTTTTTTACTCTGTTGCTATGAGGGCTTTTTAAATATGAAAATTTAATATCATGAAAATGTACTTTAAAAAATGAAATGTTTCTATCATCCACATTATATACTTTTACTATTTAAATTGAAAGACTTTGTAAAAAAAGATTTGTTTTTCATGTCACATGGAGCAATCTGCTCAGTACTGGTCACATTTCACTTTCTAGAAATCAAATAAATCACCTAACGTCCAAAACATACAGTGCCTGACACAAAGAAAAGTGCCAAGTAGCATATCCCTGCAGTAGTGTTTAAACTTTCTACTTTGAAATCATTTTAGAAGCTTCAGGGGAGTTGCAAA